TATCGTGTTTCAGTTTTTAAAATAAAAATTTTATGGAGCTTTGTTATAAAGTAACCTCGTTTGATTTTTTCCAACAGTTGCATATGCGAAAATTTTTCATTTTTTTATTAAGACCCGAATTCAAATGTATAAACTCATAATCTACAAGCAGAAAAGATCAAGGTAAAAATAAGCCTTATTGCATTAAATTGAGCCAATGACAGTGATGTCTTTTTCCTTTGGGTTAAACTGTCTCTGGCTGTTTCTAGGGTGTGGTGGTTTTTTTCCCCCTTCTTTCAAGTACTTTCTGCACTATCTTGTATTTACCTAGATTGGCATTAATATGACTCATATTGTCCAGTTGTTGGGATGAGTCAGAAGAAAAAGCTTCTCTGTCTATAGGCAGAGTTCTGGGAAATAGAGACAAATAATCTGCTGTACATTACCAGAAAAATCCTTGAGCTCTGCTTGTGCTTTTCACGGGTGCCCTGCTTGCCCTATCAATTAGGAATGAAAATAGTACCTTCCCTGATTCTCAGTACTGATGTCTAACTAGTCACTCAAGTTAATGTTCTCTCACTCCAGATTGAAAATTAAGATGATATGTTTCGGGGGTTTTGTGCCAAAATCAAATACAAACTTCTGTCTCCAATGTCAGTGATTTTCTCCTTTTTTTATTTTTCCTTCCTAGTTTGAAGACTCATACTGAGAGAAAGCTTGCTCTTTAGAGTTTCATGATGTGAATCAACATTGGCAATCTCTAGGTTCCCATAGCTATATAGATCACAGGTTGGAAACAATTGTGATATGAACTGATCTTGTCTTTCAGTTTGGCTCTGTTTGAGTTTGTGCTGTATTTCAGAACACAAGGATCCACTTCAGGGGCTCATTAAGCTGAAGACGATTCTCGGGGTTCTTAATTCAGAGATGTATAAATCTAAACAAAAAAAAAATCAAAGAACTGTATATTACACATGTAAAATTTCTCTTGGTGGCCTAGGCATATTTCCTCATTTTTATGACACTTCTCACCGACGTGCATGAAGGTACTTAAAATGAGAGAAAGATTTTTAGGGTAGACATAACTGCATGTAACAATCATCTCCTGAAGAAATGAATCTTCAAGGGTTACCATTTCCACTCCCTTCCCAGCAGGATTCTGTGTGTGTTGTAAATTCTGTTAATGTCGCATTGTAATTTAGAAGAATTAGCTATAGGATACTTTCAGGATTCTGTGCCTCCAAGATATTGGGTTTGCCTGCCAGATAGTTTAACTCTGAAAAGTGCAGAATTGCTATCAGGATTACTTGTGGTGCTTTGATCTGTTGAAATGTATTCAAAGGTAGCAATTACTTTATTTAGGTAAGTGTAGCTAATTTTTGCAATGTATATATGGAAAATAAGCTTCAGTAGCAGAAAAAAACCAGCCCCATACTGCACTATGTGTGATATTCCCAAATCTGTAAATCAGGAGTGCATTGCCTCAGTTATTTGCAGTTTTGAGAAGAAGCCCTATTTCTGTCCGTGGCCACAGATGGTATGGCTGTCTTGAGTACATTTAACACTTTTAAAAACCCCGGTTCTTTGCATCAGACTTCCTTCTGAAACCTCTGAAATACCATGTGTGTATTGTCCTAGAGTGCAGCATATTAAGAATTGTAGTAAACTTGTTTAGCTTGTCTTTACTTCTCACCTAGATCAGAGCTGTGAATTTCTTTTAAATATTGTGGATCATTTCTTTCTTTAAAGGTAAGCAGTTCTGTCTGGAGCTTTTTCTCTAGTGTGCTGAAGGGGGTTGATTTGTCACTGTTACCACAAGATGGAGCTGTCTACATATGCAATTAGTATGGAATCTTTACTACTAGTGACTCTAAAGGAGCTCTGTAAAATCATAGATGACCATTTTATGACTGTCCTTGCAAAAAACCAGTACAATATAGAACATAAAATAATAACTACTATTTTTAATAAGTTAGAGTAATCTTGTGGTCAGGATGTACATAGTATTGATCTTTCCCCCTCAGTTTTAAACATTTACTCCCTCTATGATTTTGAATTAAATATTTTGATAATACCCCTGAGAATTCACAATAAATACTTTATTTCTTACCATTAAACAGAAGTGTTAGTAGCTCAAGAAAAATAATACATACTGATTTTAATAACACTGAATACTGTATTGCCTATGCTACATCGTGTGTGCTTCCAGAATTTCTGACTATATTGTCTGGAATTGTTCAGTAATACTTTAAAGAGAAATCTCCTGATCACAAATTAGTTCTCTCAGTTTTTTAACCGCAGGTCTGCTAGTGTTGGCAGATCTGAAATTGGTAAAAAAATATCAAGACAGCCACTTGAGTACAAACTCAAGTATGGAGTTCTGTTTACGACTTTTTCTTACAGCCTTGTTCTCATTTTAGGTATATTTCGTCGATTACGTTTTACTACTGTTTTCACTTACAGTTATGTTACTCAAGTGTGTTACAAGTACACAGCTATAGATGGGAGTCTCCTCTCTTTGTGATAATGATACTCCACCTTCACTTCCCTTTGAGAATGTTGGAAGGAGACCTAAACTTGGAGACTCCTTCCACCCTTAAATAAAAAGCTCAAGGAAGTAGTAATAATTCAGCTTTGTCCAGTGCAGTATAGATGGTGAGTCCAGCCCATTCAGAGGAAGTGTATGTCCGTATGAAGGCACTGACGCCTCTGGTTCACCTACTCTCTTTATTGTTGTTTTTCTGAGCACTACAACATCAGTTGCTGAACTGTTTCCTCATCCCTTCCCCATTTCTTTACAGGTAGCAGCAACAGGATCTACATGTTTCCCTCTGTGTCTTGGATGCAGAACATTAGGTTGCGTAATGAGAGCTCACTCACTGCTGAGGATGTGTCTTGTAGCTTTGCTTTCTCCCAGGCCAGGCTGCTGCTGCTGCTCCCTCCAGCCAGCACGAGGTGCTGGGTGCAGGTATAGGTCACTCATGGTTTTCCACTACAGCCCTTTAGACCTCAGTCGTCCTGGGCAGCCTTGAGGGGTCCCATTCAGGCAACCTGATGGGAACCTCAGGAGAAGAGACTGACTGTCATGTGTTTGTCCCTTCCAGCTGTCATTTCAAACCGCTGTGGTGGAAAGGGTGAGGGGTGTTTTTCTCTTTGTGAACTACTTCACAGGTCAATGATCTTGTATTTTTTCTCCTGGTGCGCTCTGGAGGAAAGAGCCTGCCTTTCAGTACTGTAGCCTTATTTTCCTTATTTGCTTATTTTCATAAGCAAAAGGGGGATATTCTAGAAATATTTTATTGAGTAGATTTTTCCCTGAGAAAATATCTGTAGCAAGGATGTGATCGGGAATTGTCTTTCTTCTTTTGACGTGTAGGACGGCTTATTACCTTTCTTGTTCCTCTAACTTCAGTTGCTTCTCTGTGTATGTTGTCCAAGGTTCTAAGCTCTTTACCAGCTTGGCAGCTGCCTCTGTACCCAGCACCTCAATGTCCCTCTTGTAGTGAGGGGCCCCAAACTGGACACAGTACTCAAGGTGTGGCCTCACCAAAGCCAGGTACAGGGGAATGATCACCTCCCTACTTCTGCTGACACCACCATTCCTGATCCAGGCCAGGATGCCATTGGCCTTCTTGGCCACCCAGGCACACTGCTGGCTCATCTTCAGCCAGCTGTCCACCAGCATCCCCAGCCCGCCGTCCCTAGCCCCCCCCCAGCCCCTCCCCCTCAAGCCTGTAGCACTGCTGGGGATTGGTGTGGCCGAAGTGCAGGACCTGCTATCAATTACGCTGCTGTATTGATAAATCAAATTTTGGAACTGCTTATGCCTTACCTTTCGGAGGGGGGACTTCATACCTTTGATTTCCAGCACAATTCTCTGTAATACCTCTTCTCTTGCTTCCTCTGGTAAATTCTAATGCTTTGAATTGCAGGAGTCGCATTTTCCCGGTGTAGAAGTGTGCCCTTGAATCATGTTAGTAAAACAATCCCCAAAGCCCCGATTTCCTGGCTTGTATGAGGAACAGTGTGGGCAGCAGGAGCAGGGATGTGGTTCTGCCCCTGAGCTCAGCCCTGGGGCGGCCTCACCTCGAGCCCTGTGTGCTGGG